TGCGGATAAAATTTTGAAAGGGAAAACTATGATTGGCATGACATTGGCATGCAGTGGCGCAGTGCGAATCACAGTGAGGTGGCAAGGCGCTGCGGCAGGCAGACGGAATGCTGGCTCCGCCGCGCCGGCCGGCCGCCAGAACAACTGATCAGTGGCGATTGTGCGGCGAATCGCGCCTGAATGAGGGCTGATCTCGCTCTGGCTCTCGCCCCGGGGTGGCAGGCCGGGCGCACGACCTTCACGGCCCCGCCCCCCACAGTGGGCCAGAACACCGGTGGAGGTGGTCAAAACCCCGGACGCGTTTTGAGCTCTAGAGTAGCTAAACAGCCCGCGAACTGAACGAGTGACCCCACCAATGGAATGCTCTCCGAACGGGGAATCCATCGGTGGGGCTGTTTAGCGACTCTGGAGCTCAAAACGCGTCTGGAGTTTCGGCCGCCTCCACCGGTCTTCTGGCCCACTGAGCACCGCCTGACCCTAAACGCGTCCTCGGCGAGGTGCTTATTAGTCGCTCATTGGCGGCCGAAACGTGCCGGACGCGCTGAATCCCATCTTCATTATTTTTCTCTTTCGCTAAGTGGACCGGCTCAGTCATTGGCTGGGCCTTTCTCGGGGGGCGGTGGGAGGTGGACACTGGCTGCCTGGACGGCCATCTTCAAAAATTAAGGAACAATAAATAAGCGGATATTTCTGCGGTTTGAAGTTTACGGCCGGTCGCCGCGCCCCGCCTGCCTGATGGACGACATGGCACCCACGGCAGCGGCCGCTCCAAATCGGCGGGCCCGCAGCAGCAGCGCCGAATCCGCGAGAGAATTCGACCGAAAGCCCTTGGCACACGGCGAAAAGTAGATCATCTCGAGCAGTGGCATTTCTTTCTCGCTTTTTATCTCCACTAGCAGGTGGCAATTGCCGCCTAGTTTGGCTCGCCGCAGATCATACCACATATGGGTGGTCGCACAACGGCCTATGTCGCGGCAGATACGGCCTGTGTCCGGTGACCCTAGCCTGAGTGACGCTATCTGCGTGACAGGCGACGCCGTAAATCAAGCGTAGGTTCGAATCAGCCGCGCGGCGTGTTCGAGAAGTCAGCACTGCTGGACACTGGCCTCCAAATTAGCGCGCAGGATGAATCAATAAATTGCCAGAGAAAGCAGCAAGAAACGGCGCCGCTCGTCCGTGTGGTTCCTCCTGGCCCCCAAACAATCAGCATCGAACGGAGATTTAGGACTTGCCGCGCCGCAGTAGTTCTCACGTGTAGCGGGTAAAAACCAAAGTCAAGTTCGGCGCGGCTCGCAGTGGTGGAGGGGGCACCGCGGCGTGTAACGTAACAGGTGTGGTTTCTGGCTACGCTAAAGGATTATGGATTTCTTCACATATTCGACGGAGATCAAAAGAGCCGATTGCGCAATGCAGCGGTACGAGTCCGAGCGGCGTGCACGTGTGCACGTGTGTGAGTGCGCGCGCGTGTTCGACTGTGTCTGAGGGCGAGCCAGAAGAAAACAAGGAGAGGTAGCGGCGATAAAATTCGGGTAGGTACCCGATCAAAAAAGAAAAAAAAAAGACAAGTTAGAGAGAATATGATGCACTTGATGTTGCACTACATGTTTCTCTTGCTTGCAATGCTGTTCGGTCTTCGTCATCACTGCAGGTGGAAAAGGAAAGCGAAAGTGCTGTGCCATCTCCACGGAATCCGCTGCGTTGGTGTTGGTGCGTGTGTGTGCGTACGGGTGTGGTTGACTCATCTCTCCGCACACGGTTACGGCGCAGCAGGTGACCCTTTGAAACTAATTCCAACTTCACCTTGTCAGCTTCCTCGACTGTTTCCATCTGACCGTGACTGTTACTGAATCAACGTGAGAAAACGCGTAGGTGTTTGGGTCTGCCGGCTTGCCGGTCCAGGCCGCGCGTTCACGCAGCATCCTACCGTCTGCCCCACGTGCCGAGGTCTCGGAGTGATACGGCCGGGGAAACCGAGGAAAGTGGCTCAGATCAGACCGTGACGTGATAACCAGCTGTCTTACACGGCGGGCCGTCTCTCTCCCGGCGAGAGAGCGAGAATGCAGCTCGCGTTACACTGCTGCGTCTATGCCTCACTTCGACCCGATTTGGACTGGAAAACACACTAAATCTCGAACTGGCTGCTCGAGCGCTCGGCCCTTACCCGGACGAACGGCGCGGGTCCTGCCGGGATCGAATCGGAGATTAACACACGAGAGCGCGCGCCAAACTTTACCACGGTAATAAAACTATCCACTTCCTTCAGCACCTGCCGGGAGCCATTGAGACTCGCATTGAGGCGCACTGGACCGTGCTGTCCGCTTGACCAGTGGCCACGGCCAGCGCGCTCGCTGACTGATTGAAAGAAACTGACAAAGAAATCGGGGAAGAAAGAAAAAACTTGACGAATGTCTTGCAGTGCTCACTAATAGCAACGTTACTTCCCACAAACCCTTCTGCATGGTATTGTCCGCGCGGGAAATAGTAACACTCGCGAGTCGAGAGCGCTCTCCAGACTGCAGTCCAGACTGGAGTCCAGACCGGCCGGCCGATATCGAGACGATTGAAAAAGTGATGTTTTAATATTTCATACTGCATTGTCTGAAGCACGCCGAGCTTGCTCGAGTGCACGACGTCCTCACCGACTCCGTTACTCCGGGGTTGCGAAACGCGAAGCAAACCGCGCCTCGAAATTCCTCGCTAGATTTAGCGGGAAATTTCAAAAGCTTTTGCGTGTCGGCCTTAATTGACGTATGGCCGGTCCCTTTGCGATTCGGCCGCTCGTGCGGAGTCTTCAAATCAAGGCGGAAATAAATTCCTCGAGATCGGGAACGAAATCAAGCGGAGCGTGATTTATGTGTCGGTGAAGGAGTGACCGCCGCGACAGCCCGACGGAGAACTGGCGGCGAAAACGGCCAACGAGAAAAAAAAACGAGGCTAAGTGATAATGTCGGTGATACCGCGGCGGTCGTTTGCCCCAAGGGCCGTACAGTCTCGTTTTGTCTGATCGCCGAAGAATCCGGGAACGGGCGACCTTTCCCGATCAAACCGTAAACCTGTCGGACGCGACCGCCGGATGAAGTGATTAGTGTCCCTTCGCGCGAGCAGTCCGAGCACCGCGCTTCGCAACCATTATTTGTCGAGGCGGCGTGTCACGGACCCGAGCGCCGGACCCGAACGCGGCGACGGTCGGACCCGAACGGACCCGAACAAGCCGCCGGTGTTTATGAGCGCTCACACGAGGCCGCGAATGAGCAAATAGTGCGGCGACTTATGGCGGGACTAGATTCGGCCCGCTATAAAGTCGAATGAGAATGTGAATGTCAGCGCCAAGTGTCGCCGCGCGCCACAAAGTGCAGAACGAAACGACGCGGCGCGCGCAGCCAGCCATCATGCTCGCGCTGCTCGCGTCACAGAAAGTCCTTGACGGAGAGACAGAAGTTGGAAACGTTGGCGCCGCTTTTGGCGCGCGTCCGCCCGCTCTGCCCCCGATAGATACCGGGCCAGCCGGAGCCACATCTCCGGCGCATGGGAAATGAATCACAGTTCGGAACGCGCCAACCGCCGGCGAGGTCCACGGCGGCCCGTCCACACACTCTTGGCTCCAATCAGCGGCCGCGACGCTATTTAGATAGGGCCGCGTGTTGCCACCGTATGCCACCCCACGCACAAGGGCCGTAACGAGGTCTGGCCACACAGTAGAAGACAACGCTGTGTTTGGCTCAAAATGTATCTGGATTTCGTGTTTTGGGTGACCGCTGGGTCCAACCAAACGTTCATTTCTTACCGAAACACACTGAGCGTGGTCTTTCTCATCCATGCACTGCTTCTGTTCGGGCCATGTCCTTTCTGCCCTGAGGATGCCCGTTCTTGTACGGTGTTGGCGTTTCCAGGCCGGCTCGGTCGGCACGCTAATCTACCAGGGTGTGGCGGGCAGATCAGCCAAGGCCGTCCCCGACCGCAGCCACTGAGTCACGGCCGGGAGGTGGCGATGGTGGCGACGGTGGCCGGGCGGGCCGATGATGACGGTAATGTCGAATCGCTGACCGCGCCGTGCGGCGCCGTGCCACGGTCAGGGCCCGGCCGCGACGCCGCGACCCGGGCACGTCGGCGGCGCCATGCGATCCGCCGTGGAGGTGTGTCCCGGCCCAGCCAAGGCCTCCCCCTCCCCTCCGCGGGCTGATTGCGTGAGCGGCCGGGAAACAATTGGTGGACAGATTTAATGCGTTCATTTGTTGACAAGTGGGTGGCGGCGTAGCGCGGGAACTAGACGGCATCAAGGGCGCCCCGGGCCGCCGCCGCCGTCTTGTTGCAGGAACCAGATGGGGAGCCAGGCGCCGCACGGGGCCGACGGGGGAGGCGCGCGGGACCACGATATATCACTCGGCGTCGATATCGAGCATAATCCGCGCGCCATCGGGTGGGCAGCGGAACAAAAACCGAGTTCATTACTTAACCGCGCGTCTCGTCGAGGCGAAACTAGAATAAAATTAGCGCTATTGCGGTGATGGCGCGTGGCGGGCGTTGCGGAATCGGTTGTGATTTATGAATGGGCGGCCTTCGCGATGTCGCCGCCAGTCGCCGGCCAGGCCAGAAGGCGCCAGAAGGCATCAGCGAGTGTTCCACGGTAAGCCGATAGCTTCCGCGCGCACTGCCGCCCGGCTGCTGAAACTGGATGCGGACACGCGGACCGACGCGGTAGCGATCTCAAGGTGCCGGCAGGGCCGTTTGGCCAGCGCCCTAAACGAGTCCCAGTTCTAGCGGTCCACACCTCGGGAGCGGGAGGCACCAACACAAGGGAACAGTCCGAAAGCGCCAACATTTTCGCCACAACACAACATTCGATCACTCATTGAACAGAAAGACTAAATTCTGCCCGTGTTTTTTTAGGTGAGTGGGTGGAACACATTGAACTAAAAGAATACATCGATCCATTCAGTCACTCTTTTGCACAAGTCTTCCTTGCTTTGACAGAACCCTAAACAGAGAGACGGATGTCTTACCTTGATTTTCTCCTGGCCGGTGTCCGGGTCGTAGGATCCCTTGAGGAGCGGCCCTTCCATCTGCTGGCGCCTGCAACGGGACAGACACGACGCGTTAGCATTTTGGAGGTCTGCAAGTCTCCCTCGGGCCGTAAACCTGTCCACCCGATAATTAATTCAGCCTTTATGAACAGGATCATCGCGCGGCCCTAAACTCGTCCTTCGCCCCGCTGCTTAAGTCATTACACAGAAACTAAAAGGGCGGGCAAGGCAGTAAAGCCCTGCGGGGCCCGGCCGGTCCACCTGCAGTGTGTGAGTGTGTGTGTCCGTGTGCGGCCGCTTGTGTGAGTGCGCGCGCTATGCGCACGCGTGTAAGGTCGGCACAATGGTGGACAGGCACGCTCGCGACGCGCGGTGCGACGAAAAGACGGTGAAAGCCCCGACGCCTTTCAAGCGGCACCGCCGTGACGCCGTACGCACCGCACGATTCATCACGAATACCGCCACATACGCCCGACTGCGCCACGCCACGCCACGCCGTGCCGCCGCGCCCATGCGTCTGGCGCGTAGATAGCAAGCAGCGCAAGCGGCGAGCACTGCAGCCGTGGGAAAGGAAAGCCCGGCGAGGAAGGGGGCGGCGGGGGAGGCGCCCTCTGCCCCGAGACGGCCTTCAGGGCGTGCAGCAGGGCTTGGCGGCGCGAGGAGCTTCCAGGCGTGGTGCAGCGGGGCCTTTCAGGGCGTACCGCGGCGTACCGCGGCGTGGGGCGCACCGCGGCGTTCCGAGGCGTACCGCGAGGCGTGCCGCGAGACCACATCACGGCGCACCGCACTGGGCCACACAGACAGCGCGCACCGCAAAGCGTGCACGCCGCAGCGACCGCAACACACGGCCACGCACGCGTGCTTCCCAAACACGATCCCCGTGAGCAGCACGCGGGGCCGTCCCGCAGTGGGCCAGCACACAACGAGCTAACGCGTTTTGTGGACGGCCCCGCGGAGAGTGAGGGGGAGGCGTGCGAGCGAGCTAATCCCGCGGGCATTACAAGCAGATGATACTTGGTAAAAGTAATGACGGATGGAAGGCGCGACGCGTAACGCATATGTGTGCACGGCTGCGAGTGTGAGGGCCGCTCACATGTGTGTGAATACAGTGTCTGTTACGTGCGTATACAGAGTCATTCGATCTTGGTGGGACTTGTATACGACCCAAGTGCGTCTGTGCGCTGCCGATGCGCCGGGGTGTGAGTGCTGGTGCGCGTTTGGCCAGGCATGCGCGAGCGAGCATAGGCGAAACATTAAGGTACAGCCACGTCCAGCAGTCGAGTCAGGCTGACTGTCGTGCGTGCACTGCGGTTTCAATTCACTTTAGCAGTAAAACATAAATCCCGCTTACAACGGAGAACTTGGCATGTCTCAGAGACGACTGGCAAAAAAAGACATTAAAAAGGGATCCGGGAGGCAGTTTTGTCAACACTACAGTGCGATCGCGTTTGAAGCTGGCTTGCATTTACTGTCGCCGTTAGATGCGCCTCGGTGGCCACGCCAGGCCACGCATTTGGATTGAATGTGGGTCTTAACGGCGGCATGCCAGGACTTGGCTTCAGCTCGCTCCAGCTCCAGCCTGGCTCCGGCCTGGCTCCAGCCTGCAGACAGTCCGGCCCGTCAGACGGACGTCAAGGGAAGGCGAGGCGAGGCACAGCGCCAGCCCGCACTCATTCATAATAAATAAACGAGAGATCCGAATCAGGAGCTCGGAACCATCACCGCCGCAAATTAAGGGGGAAACCAATTTGCGGAAAGAAGCAGTGTCCGCGGTCAGCGCGACGACTTTCAAGTAAACACACCACACACACACACACACACACACACACACACACACACACACACGCGCGCGCGCGCGCGCGCGCGAACACTCACAAGCCAACATCCAAACATGCAAATGAACGTCTTGCCGCAGGAGCCAATATGACAAAAAATCGTGGCCGCAATAAAACGAAGACTCAAATTACGACAGAGAGGTGAAGCATAACTAACCCTTCTCACGACACTTTAATTCGAGGTTAATCGTCCGAGTCGATACCCGAACCCTTTAGCTGACTCCGCGCCCGGGGCTACTGCAGGGGCCCAGCCCAGCCTCCGCCGGCAGCCCCCTTTCGTGCGATTCGCGTTTCTCGCTCGGCTAAACCCAGCCTGTGCCAGGGCGACGGGCAGGCAGCAGACTACACCGCACGCAGCCACTGGTGGCGGCGCAGCGGAGGGATTAAGAAAAGGCATTAATTTGTGCGAGACGTCACGGGGGGAGTGGGGGTAGAATATCATCGCTGTGTTCTATGTGGGCGAACTGGAAGGCCCAGCAGCGCCGCGCCCCGCCCGCCCCGCCCGCCCCGCCCGCCAGGAGGCCCATCAGCAAGGGGCTCAGCTCGCAGCCCGGGCCCGCTGCCCAGCTCGCTCGAGGCTTCGGAGCGCTACCGCTACCGCGCCGCAGATGGCGTCGATTCTACGGCGATGGCGTGAATTTGAGCGCGTTGGCGGAGTCATCACCACCTGATCAGATGGCTGCCGCGTTTCACAATGCCCGCCCCCCCTATCGCCGCGCATCCGCTGCTGCTGCCTGGCCTGCCACCTCTTCAATTTTCATGCTCTTTCTGAGCCTCCTTGACCCAGCCACGCCCCCAGGAGGCAGCACAACAGCCTTCGATAAATTGGGGGATAAAAGAATTACTTACCCTGGGAAACAATAATTTTGACTCTCTTTCTCTCCGACACATGCAGCCAGGCCAAGACGACAAGCGTGCCGAGGCGTGCATGCGGCTGCAGTTCTGCGAAAAAGCGGTGCATGGGGCCGGCGGGGAAAACTGTCCACAGAGGCTTCTGCATGAATCACGTCAAATACGGCGAAACCTCTCGCGTCAGACACATCTGGGTCGCAGTGCTTTTTAACAAGAATCTCGACGCGGCCTGGGATATTTCTTTTTTACAGCTTGGCGCGGAATTAATTCGCGTTTCGCGCGCATAAACGCGCCTGTTATTGTGCAGCCTAGACACAGCCATTAGCAGCCACCGTGTCTGAAGTACAATGTCTCTGCCAGTCTCGGTGTGTTGTGGGTGTGTTGTGCAGGGCGCCCCCGCGGCCCCCGCGGCCCCCGCGGCCCCCACGGCTCCGAGGTCAGGGCGATATCATTATTATAAAAGGCGTCGGCTCCTTGCAAAACAACGCAATACAACAAGGCGGAAAGGGGGTGGAGGGGCAGGGAGGGCAAATCAGACCAATTGTACTGCAAGGCCGGGCAAAAGAGGCCAAAGTAAAAAACAACCAAACGTGACCCTTTGGCGTGATTTTTTTTCAAGGGGTAGGCGGCACGGAGTTCTCTTTGAAAACGAAGGAAGATTTTTATCTCGTTCGGGAGATCTTATTATTATTTTATTTCCCATAGCGGCCGAAGGGGTTTGATGAGGGCGCCGACGCACGCGGGGGGATATTTTGTGGACGGCGGGACGCGGGGCGCCCCCCGCAGCGCAACACGGCGCCGCGCCTCAACCCGCGCCGTCACCGTCCTGCATCGTTTGAACGCCGCCGCGCCGTCGGGCCAGACGGGAAGAAAAACAAAAACACGTCGAAAAGCAGCATGACCTGTCAGCTCTGGCCTCTGGCCTGCCGCCTGCGAACTCGAGATAGGCCATCACGCCGTCTTCCGTGTCGGCGGGTTGCCTACCCGGCAGGCAAGCCCGTTACGCATAGGAGTCAGCGGGTTGCCTACCCGGTGGCCGCGCAGGCGCTTCACTAAAAAGGGTCAGTACGAAGAAGTGGCGAAGCATCGTGAGGCTCCCAGGCAGGAGAGTAGTGTGCACCGTGAGCAGAACAGGTTCCCGCGCGGTGTGGCGACGCTAAATCAAAGCTACCAGCAGCGCGACAGTGTGCTACGCTACGCTGGGCTACGCGGCGCTAGCGTATTGGCCGCTAAGGGCGACACCGGTACGGCCTTATCGCTCCGCGTCAGTCCGGCCGGCCAGGCCGACGCCAGGCCGACGCCCCCCGCGAGGCGACCGAGGAGGCGACGCCCCGCCGCTGCAGTTTCCACCAAGGAGGCCCCCATTTTGAATGAAGCCATCATTCACGCTGCCACCGCGGAGTTCCTCGCGGCGGCGCAGGGCCTCGGGGCAGAGCGGTCCGGGAAGGCGAAAGGAAAGAGGAGACCTTTCATGCCGGGCCTACAATAACTGGTCCCGCTCTCACACACAAAACGCCCAAATGCCACAACGCGGCGCGCCGCGGCGGGGCGGGTCGGCCGGCGCTACTGTGAACTTCAGAGGCCGCCGCCGCCGATCTGACTGTATACGGGCTGCCGCTTGGGCTGCCGGGCCGGCCGAAAAGTTCAGCGGCGTCGTTTGCATTTCCACGTGTGGGAACGCGGGGCCACGCTTCCAGGCCTGCCAGTGGCGTGCCGGGCCTGCCGGGACGCCCCTCCGAGCCGCGGACGGAACGCGGCCGAGCGAATCAAAAAACTTTGTGGAAAGCTGATACGCCGTGGAGCTCGCACCTCGAGTATAATCAGAGCCAGTCTAGAGAATTGTTTGTGTATTTTTTATCCGAGGGGGAATTTTTATCTCTCAGTTTTGACGAGGGAATGATGAATTCCCGTGATGAGCCCCGCGTAGAGCGGCAGTCCGCATCATCTGTGTGTGTGTGAGAGTGTATGTGTGTGTGCGTGTCATTAAGTTGGTACTGCAACCACGTCGCCGAGGCCGCGATGCCTGGATTTTTTACTGCGCCTTTGGCCGCGTAGGACGGCTCTATCGCCGTATGAAAGGCGTTATGGCCATTTGCATTCCGCGACTGCATTTTGTTGGACGAGCGCGCCACTGCCCACAGCCTTTATCACTCTGTCATCTGTGGAAAAACTTGTTGTTTTCGTTATTTTTTTCGAGGGAACAAGCGGACTCCAGTGAACGGTGCGGACGGCCCGGCCGCCAAACTGTGGTTCGGGGGCGTGTTCAGCCTTCCGTCCTTGGTGGCCTCGGAGCCTCGCTCGGCGCCCGGACCGCGCGATCACTGTACTTGTACTCGGTTTGCGGGGTCATGAGCACGGCACT